GCTTGGCGGACAGTGGCGTTTAATAAAGTCACCTCCCTCCCTGCCTAGCCTACTTGGAGTAAGGCATCCATCTATCTCAGAGTAGGCCTGGAGACAGGGTACTACAATAAGGGCCGGGGGGGGGGGGGGGCGCGCGTCTATGCTCATCCTTATTTCATTGTTTAGGCACTCTTCTGATGTTCCAGAGTCTCCATTTCTCAGCATTAGGAACTCTTGTCCTTCCTGTTTCCCAAGAGAAGTTACATTAGAAATTAAGTGAAACAGTGAATGTGGGTTTTTTCCTCTTTCCTTCCTTTCCTTCTTTCCCTTCTTCCCTCTCTCCCTTCTTCTCCTCTCCCTCCCTCCCTCTCTCCTTCCTTCCTTTCTTCCTTCCTTCCCTCCTTCCTTCCTTCCTACCCTCCATATCAGTACTGCGACTTGTATTCAGAGCCTTTCACTCTTACTCAACTTTTTCACTCACAATTGGCACTCTACCACTTGAGCCACTGTCTAATTGAGCCTGTCTAATTGGAGATAAGAGTCTCACAGACTTTCTTATCCAGACTTTCTATCTTCAAACTGTAAGCCTCTGATTTCTGTATCCTGAATAGGTAGGATTACAGGTATGAGCCACCAGAGCCCTGTGTAATGTGAATTTCTCTACAAAAATGCATGATATTAACCAATGTCTGAGGCTTACGTCACTAACCATCAAAGAGAATGTAGAGCCTTTTGCCTTGCACACACACAGACACAGACACACCCACACCCACACACACCCATGCACATGGGCACACACGTACCTTGCTTGCATTAAAGGTATGACTACTATGTCTGGGGGAGACATCTGGCTGCTCAGATCACATGTGGAGCACCCCACTTCACCTGCAGATGAGGACGTGGGTAGGGTGCGACGGGAAGGCTGTGTTCCCATGAGCAGTTTGCGTGAACCCTGTGTGGGCAAATCACCGCTCCCTGCCTCAGCCTGAGGCAGTGCTCACACAGCAGTCTTACATGATCACAAACATACATTACATGCTGATTAGGATCCAGCAGTCAATACTAAGCTGGAATCTGCAGTTGAATTCTATATGCTTCCTACCCAGCACCCTGAGCCCAGGGAGGTGAGGTTGTGCCTGAGAGCTCATTACCTTTAAAACACATTCCGTGTCCCTGGCCCGCACCAAGTTTGTTCTCTGCCTCCCACACTTGTAGCATTTGACAGAGTTATTCAGCTGGGGACTCTGTTTTTGTTCTTGGATTTGTGTGTGCACCTGGGCTGAGACTTGAACTCACACTCTAGCTTGGCTTTTTCACTCAGGCTGGTGCAGTACCACTGGAGCCACAGCTTCCAGCCAGGAATTCGGACACCAGACCTCAAAGTTCCAAAGCCAGTCTCCTGGCAGGGTGGCCCTATGAGTTACTTAGCCTCTGCGTGCCTCCGTTTCCCCATTTGCAAATGAGGACACTTAATGCCATTTGAAGGACTTGTTCTTACCCCATAGCTTGTCTGGAGACGTGTTGTGTTCATGTGGAAAGCTCTGAGGACAGTGCTTGGTGCACAATGGGGACAGAGGAAATGCCGCTGTGATACTGACGCGATCATTTATTTTCCCCTTTGTGAAAGTATAAAAGTTAAAGAATAATTGAAACACGTGAAAAGTAGATATGCCAGGCAAAGAGATAAATGAACTGTTTGCATAAACACGAATTAAGAGAGTCACACTCAAGAACTGTTCCGTGCTGCGGACAGCCGGCATCTGGAAGGAATTATAGGGGAGGGGAGGGGAGGGAGGGTGTGACAGAGAACACCGGGTGACTGTCGCAGGGAGATAATTCACTCTGGAGTGCGTAAATGATCCCCAAGGACAGAGGCTGCTCTAGGCTCAGGGAGCACAAGAGGAGGCCCCAAGAATATTCACCTCCTAACAGTGATCTGACCGTCCAGGGACCTAACCTGTCTGGCTCACTACAGTGAGCTGATCCACTGCCTGTTCTTAAACAGAATTGCACTAAAAATCGGGTGCAATTTTTATATCTATGAAATGAACACTAAGAAAGGCACCGTTTACACCTGTAATCCTAGCTACTCATCGGCTAAGATCTGAGGATCATGGTTTGAAGCCAGTCCTGGCAGAAAAGTGCATGAAACCTTTATCTTCAATTAACCCACAAAATGCCAGAAGTGGAGCTTTGACTCAAATGGTAGAACACAAACCTTGAGTGAAAAAAATAAGGATAAGAGGCCTAGTTAAAGCTCCAATACTGGCACACAAGCATGTGCACACACACACACACACCCCACACACAACTAGAAATTAACACTAGGAAAATTGTAATACTAGATGAAATGAGGATGGATTGAAATTGGCACCCTTAAAAATCTGCAATATAAATATAAATTAGCATAATTGGAAGGAAGTAATTTGGCTGGGGATTTTGAGTTGTAAAAATGTCGACACCTTTGACCTACTAACCCAACTTCTTGGAATTTATTGCTAGGAAAAACTTTTTTAAAAAGAAGAAAATATGTCAGTATGTATTTACGATGTTTAAAAACAAGATCCCACAGTTCCAAGAATGGCTAAGTTATAGCAAGTCCCTTGAAGGACACTTATACAGTCATCAAAATTATAATTATATAAATTATAAAAGAAGGATGGAAAAAAATGTTTGAGAAATAATCATAACATGAGGTGGAGAAAGAAAAACCCAGAAATGAAATTGTAAAGACTGGATGGAGCTAGCAAATGACAATGAAAAACAAACCAGTGCTCTCTGTTGGAGGTGGTGGAGGTGTGGAAGAATGTTTCTTTCTTCTGTGTGGACTTGCACTAAGAGTGATCAGTAAAGAGCTACAATCAACGAGCCACAGAGACCATCTGGGAAGGAGGACTGACTGTCAGCTGGACACAGTTTCAGCCCCGTTTCCTGGACTGAGAGAAGGGCCCAGGAGCTGGCAGGTGCCGAGGGCTGGATTGAATTCCAAGGATACAGAGGACAGAGTGGCTTGGGACCCCTTGATGAGGAATGGAGAGACCAGGAGGAGCCGGGAAGAAGACAGCCAGGAAGGGGAGCATCTCTAAGGCAAGGTTGGAAAACTAGACTATGTGCAGAAAATGGCCAGGTGGAATGCATAGAGGTTTTGAAAGAAAATGAATTAAAGAACTGCACATTTAAACCAGAAAAGCTATCATAGGTTATGGATGGGAGAGGTGTCTATGAAATTCTGAGAAAAAAAATTCTTAGAAAAAAATAACAAATTGCTAGCTCTCTATCCTACCAAAGATGGGATCTCTTGGGTGGAAACTCCCAATTTCAAGTCAGAACCGGATGCAAAACATTCCAAAGGTGAGCACTAAGTGGATGTAGAGAGACTGATAGAAGCAGGATCTGGGTGACCGCGTGGTGGCATGTGCTTCTGGGGTTAAAACTCTAGATGGGAAGAAGCAGCAGCTCTGAGGCTCTGTCCAGATCTCTGTACCCCAGAATCTAGTCTGGAGTGACTTACATGTCTCCCCGGGGGGCGGGGCAGGGCGGTAGAGCCCTCTGCTGTGTGTATCCACAGGCCTCCCTGCTGGACCACAGCCTCAGGCCTCCACAAGAACCCCCACAAGCCTAATCCCCCTTTTCATGGTGAAGTTCTGCCTGAGAACTTACTCTGTCCGCATGCTCTCATTGTTTCAACAAGTTTCGTACTAAGTTCCAGGTTCTCGGGTTCCAAGGTGGTGAAGACAGACTTCTCTCTGAGTCTTATCTTTTCCTACCTCCAACACGACTCACTCCTGCCCGCCCCCCCATACTGGCTGGACTGGACTTCCCTAGTGTGGAGAGCCAGGTGGAGAAGCAAGCATGGTTGGCCATGCCAGCACCTGGGCGGTGCCAGATCCCATCTCCCAGGCAACACAGGGATGCCGGAGTCGAGGGATTCTTGTCTGCCTCTTAGTATTGTGATGCAGCTGTTTTATAACCAAGGAAAGGATCTCGCTCCAAGAGGCAAGGGCGGGGAGTCACTGGATGGATTGTTTGCTGCGGAAAACAGGGGACGAAGGAGGAGAGTGGGAGGGCAAAGTTTCCATCTGCTCCGGGGGGGGGGGGGGGGCGGCCAGGCTGCAGCCGGACGGAGGGACATGGAACTCCAGAGGCCACGGGATAAGCACTGTGATCTTGCTCTGGTTGGGATGATTCCCAGGACAGATTTCTTTTCCAAGCACTTTCAGACCATGGCAAGTAGCCTCCTCCTGAAGCTGAGGGTTCATAGCATTGTGTGTCTTGGGTGTGTGTGTGTGTGTGTGTGTGTGTGTGTGTGTGTGGTGTGTGTGTGTGTGTGTGTGCGTGCGCGCACCTGGGCACCGACCTTTAGCTTTTCCCACTCAAGACCGTTGCTTTCCCCCTTGAGACACAGCTCCACTTTTGGCTCTTTGGTGAGATAATTGGAGGTCAGGGTCTCATAGTCTTTCCTGCCTGGGTTGGTTTTGAACTAAGATCCTCAGATCTCAGCCCACTAAGTAGCTAGGGTTATAGGTATGAGCTCACAGAAGCCCAACTAAGCAGCCAGGATCTTAAATAGAACCACATAAAACTGCCCGTACCCAACCACTTCCAACGTCCAAAAATGGCAGTTTCATTTGGACCACTGAACGCAGGCCTGGCTAGATAGATCGGTGTAGCAGATCAACTTGTCTGTTCCTTGGGATTATTGCGGGGTCTTTTAATAGTTTCAGACCCTAGGTTTTGTATTCCAGATCAACTCAGTTATAGTTTTCACAGGCAGCCCGGAGGTGTGGCTCGAATTATAGAGCTCCTGCTGGGTGAGACACCTGTCCAGGTGATCTTACTGTGTGGACAGCTTTGGGGTCCTGTGGGCTTTAGTCAGCACAGAGTCTGGGATCTAATGAAACAGCCTCCTCTGCTCTTCCTTCACTGGCATTTACCGAGCGCCTGCTGCACACCAGGCTTGCCTGGCCCTTCCTTCCTCACCTCTCTCTCTCTTCTCCTGTCCTCCGCCTCCCCCTCTGCAGTGTCCAGACCCCGCAGCCACCCTGACGACCTGAAGGCGCTGACTCGCCACGTGAACCGGCTCAACGAGAGCTTCCGGGACTTGCAGCTGCGGCTGCTGCAGGCCCCGCTGCAGGCCGACCTGGCGGAGCAGGTGTGGAGCGCGCAGGAGGCGCTGCAGAACCAGACGGACGCGCTGCAGCTGCTGGCGGGCGCCGTGCAGCGGCTGGAGGGCGCGCTGTGGGCCCTGCGCGCCAGGGCCGCGCAGGCGGAGCAGGCCGTGGCCCTGCTGCGGGACCGCACGGGCCAGCAGGGCGACTGGACGCAGCTGGAGCTGTACCAGCTGCAGGTGGACAGCAACCGCAGTCAGCTGCTGCTGCGGCGTCATGCGGGCCTGCTGGACGGGCTGGCGCACCGGGTGGGGGTCCTGGGCGAGGAGCTGGCCGACGTGGGGGGCGCGCTGCACGGCCTCAACCGCAGCCTGTCCTATGACGTGGCGCTGCAGGGCACGCGGCTGCGGGACCTGCAGGTGCTGGTGAGCAACGCCAGCGAGGATGCGCGCCGCATGCGCAGGGTGCACTTGGACCTGGAGCTGCAGCTCAAGCAGGAGCTGGCCATGCTCAACGTGGTGACGGAGGACCTGCGCCTCAAGGACTGGGAGCACTCCATCGCCCTCAGGAACATCTCCCTGGCCAAAGGTGAGGCGACCTCGGCAAAAGGCGCCCAGCCCAGGACGCTGCCTCCTGGCTGCTCCCGCTCAGGTCTTCCCAAGGCCCCATCCCCAGGTGACAACCCATCCCCACGTTTAGTCTTGCCCTGCAGCACTCTGGAACTTTCTGGCCATCGCTAAGCCCCTTGAGCAAACCTTCTAAGTCAGAGAATGGACTCCACTCTTGGCCAGGAATAGCAAGCTAGGATATGAATAGTCAGAGCTTAGCGCGACCTTGCTGTAGTCTCCAAGATCTTGGAGCTCTGGGAAGAGAAGCAGGAGGAGAGAGGGGCTCCCCCTCTCTTGTGTGCTCCGTGGCTGGAGCACCAAGCAGTAGAGAATTCCTAAGTCACACCTGGCCTTCCAGGCTGTTAGGAAGATGGATGCATCTAGGCAGAAGAATATATGTCAAATTAACTCTTTATTACTTTTATGCATCAACCACTGGGTATGGTTGTACGAAGCTATAGTCCCAATCAATGAGAGGCACAGATGGGAGGAGCCCAAGTCTGAGGCCAACCTGGGTTACATGGTGAAATCCTGTCCATAGTAAGACAGACAGACAGATATAGACAGAGACTGATAGACAGATCAATAGATCAACAGATAGATAGACAGACAGACAGACAGATATGGGAAGCAGAGGTAGGAGGATTGCAAGTTTAAAGTCAGACAGGACAAAGTTGGCCAGCCCCTATCTCAAGAGGGCTATCTCTAAAAGCAAAAGGGCTGAGGAGGGGGCAGCTCAAATGATTCTAAGGCCTTGGGCTCAGGCGCACGCGCACACACACACACACACACACACACACACACACACACACTCCTACTCTGCTCTATTCTGTCTTGGAATCCACAAATATTCAATTGTGTGTATTTTTCAACCATGAGTATATTTACATTATCCTTGAACCCGGCCCAAATGGTTTCCATGGTCTCTTAGTTATGCAGTTTTCTGTGAGTTTTGTCTCCAGTTTGTTTTTCATGGAGATTCACAGCAGGGTTTTCTGATTTCTCCTTTGGATTTCCATCCTCCATCAGGTCTGGTCAAACCTCTATGGTTTCTAAGTTGCAGAACTTAGATTATCTGAGCGAGGAGGTATGCCAGGGGAGGAAGGTCCAGTGAAGGGCAGGGGCAGGCCTTCCCACCCTGTGCAACGGCTCTGCGTGCCAGAACGTGAGCTTGCTAGAATCTCAGAACGTGAGCTTGCTAGAATCTCAGAATGTGAGCTTGCTAGAATCTCAGAACATGAGCTTGCTAGAATTCAGAACGTGAGCTTGCTAGAATCTCAGGAGACTAGAGTGGGAAGAGATTGCTGATCCATATGCTCTAACCATCTACTCTCCCCTTCCACATCTGACTCCACCCTGAAATGGTGGAGGGCCCAGAATGAAATGAACTGCTGTACCAGCCTGCCCCCACCACCTTTGCCCTTGAGGCCCCAGGACCGCAGCCAGAGCTGTCCCTGCATCTTGTGGGATCCCCGTCTTCCTGGCTGTGAGATGTTGCTGGAGGTTCTGGTTCTGGTTCTGTTGCTTGCTTGAGGGTAGAGCAGTGTCTTGAATAAGGAAAGGGAGAGTTCCGTCTGCTCTAAAGGAATAGCTGTCTCTGGGCCCTAGGAACTGGAAGTCTAGCAGTCAGCTCTGGGCCTCCACCCTTGGTCAGCTGCCCTGGGGCTGGCGTGGTGTTGTGTTTATTTGGGTCAGTGTACTGCAGGCTTTGGCTGGCTCATCGCTGTCCTGGTCATTTGTCCTCCCCTTCCAGCTCACACCGTCTCCCTCCCCAAATCCTGGAACAAGGATGGGAAAAGATTGCCTCTCCTTCTATTGATTGTCTGGTCCCCTGAGAGGATGGCCTCTTAGGGCTGCTCCCAAATGCTCAGGCACCGGTCTTCATCCGGTTAGTGGTGCCATCCTCCTAATCCTGATTGTGTGCCAGAGCTGTGTGGGATGCAGGGCCAGAGAGGTGGCTCCAGTGTCCACACAGGCCGGGCCACTGTGGGGGTGGTGACACACCGGGCATGTGCACAGAGGCTGCCTGCTCAAGGTCCTGCCCTTGGGAGCCAGCTCCCAGGCCCGCCCTGGCTGTGAGGTTTGGGCACTCTACCTATGCTGTGCCAAGACATGCAGGGGGGCAGGGGGGGCCTAAGGGTGACTCTGGGACTCAGAGGGACTAGAAATGCTCCGCCCGATGTGTGAGGACACTGAGGGGCGAGGGGGTAGCTGTGTCAGGAAGCCTCAAGTCCACAGTGCGAGGTGAGGCTGGGAAGGACCTGCAGGATCTGTGAATGGCGGCCGTGCCCCCCCCCCCCCCCCGCTGGAAGGGCCACCCAGGGCTCCGAGCACATTTGCTTGTTTCCATATTTGGGGGATATTCATCAGAGAGCGGCGCACACCGTGGGTAGAGAGAGTGAACACAAGGCGTCTTTAGAAGGCAGGGCCAGTGAGAGTGGTGGACTGAGGGAGGAGGCAAAGACATGAAAGGGACTGTGCACCGCAGCCTTCCATGAGAGCATGCGCATGGTGGGAAAGAGGGTGAGCAGGAAAGGGATTCCCAGCCTGGGTCCCTGAGAGAACAGCAGCGCCATGGGCATACAAGCCCGGCCTCCGCTGCACCCCAGGGACAGCCGCCGTGAGTTCAGAAGCACCCAGTTCTGGCCACTTGGCAGCCAGGCCTGTCTCACCAGAGATGTGCGCCTCCGCTAATCCCTGATCATCTCTGCCAAGCTCCCCACCAGCCTCTTCCTTGTGTTGAAATATCTATACATACACCATTATAAGATGATCTTTAGACCATCCTCTAACTGGATTAGCTGCCCAAGGACAGCAGAGGGACTCCAGCTGCACCTTAGAATAAGGCTAAGCGTTGATGTTCTAACAGTTCGCATGAAGCTTCAGCGTGAGGCCAGCGTGACCTTGCCGCTGAAGGTTACCAGGCCCTGTGAGTCCCCTTCCTCCTCACTCCCAGGCATGGGGAAAACAAATCTCTCTCTCCTTGTCATAGACCAGGACCTGAGCTCAAGACACTCCACATCCATATTCACATCCCACATATCTCCACCCCTACCCAGCCCCCTCTGTCGAGGCTGGACTGCACTGGACTGCATCCCTCCTTGGTCAGAAGAGCCGTGCCCTGGGTCTGTGCTAATCAGCTTTCTGCCTCTGGGACAAAACATTGGCGAGAGTCAGCTTGTAAAAAAGAAAAGGTTTATTTTGTCTGAGTTTTGGAAGTTTGGATCTGCAATCCGTTGGCCCAATTACTTTATTAGAAGAAGCTATATCCAGGAAGGAGAGAAAGAGACAGACAGAGACAGAGACAAGAGACAGAGAGAAATGTGTGTCAGAGTCACAGCATCTCTTCCAACTCATGCTCTCTAACTCCCTCCATCTGGCTTCTGCTGCTTACATCTTTCACCACCTCACGGGGTCTAAACACTGGAATCAGAAAGGTCAAGCTTTGCTTTGCTTTACTTCTCAAACTTGTGAATTTTTAAATATGTTGAGCACTTTTTATTCCATTGAATTATTAGAGATCTGTCAGCTTTAGTGAGAGGCTGGGGGCGATACAAACTTTTGGCATGTACCAGGACATCTTGATCTTGGCGGCCTGGTTGTTTGGTATGATCACATTGACTCATTCATTCATCAAATATGTATTGTGCAAGACACTGTCATGGTGCTGCTTGGATTTCCTAAAGGCTGATCCACCAGAGCACCACGCGGGTGGCCAAAACTACCAGACATTTATTCTCCACAGTTCTGAAGTCTTCCAGTCCAAAATCAAGGTGTGAACAGGGTCCTGTCTCCCTGAGCGCTCCAAGGCAGGGTCCTTTCTGCTCTTTCTAACTTCTGATGGCTGCTGGAATCCCCAGCATCCCTTGGCCTACAAACACATCCCTCCCATGTCTGCCTGTGTCGGCACGTGGCGTTCGTGTAGCTGGGGCTCTCTATTTACTTCTCTTTTGAGGATACCAGTCATTGGATTAGGGCTTACCACACTCCAGTATGAGTTCATTATAACAATACACAACTGTAAAGACTCTTTTCCTCACAAGAGTGAGGCAGTGGTGCTGTGGCTCAAGTGGTAGAGTGCTCACCTTGAGCTGAAGAGCCCAGGGACAGCAAGCACCCAGGCCCACAGTTCAAGCCCCATGACAAAAACCTTGTTCCAGGTTGTTGAAGGTGGGGGAGGAAGAATCTGGGCTCAGGTTCAGATTTCTGGCTGCACACTTGCAGGAAGGAAGGTTGATTTCTGAGAGTTGCTGGGCGAGGGCTGCCACTCCTGTGACTTCCCGTGCACTCAGTCATGATCAAGCATTGAAGCCAGGCCTCCCAGACCTCCACTTTCTAACCTACTAGGCCTCCAGCTGCACATCCTGTCTGACCCCTGTCCATTTACTGTCCTAGCCAGGCCCAGGGCCCCAGGAACAAAATCCTTAAACCACAGACATTTGTTTTCCCCCAGTTTGGGAGGTGGAAGTCTGAGATCAGAGTGCACCATGTCATTATTTACTGGAGAGAGAGAGAGAGAGAGAGAGAGAGAGGAGAGAAACAGAGACAGAGACAGAGAGAGAAAAAGGGAGAGGGAGACAGGAGAGGTAGGAGGAGGGAGGGAAAGCCAGCACAAGTGTCAGCCTGAGCTCCCTTCTTATAAGATCTCTTCTCTAAAGCCATTAATCCCAGCAGCCCGGCTCCACCCTTCTGACCTCATCGAAACCAAAGCCCTTTCCAAAAGCCCCACCTCCTCCCGAGACCCTCGGAGTCAGAACCTCAACACACACATCTGAGAGGGATACAAACGTCCGGTTCCTAGAGAACCTCGCCCTCTCCCTTCGCTAGCTCCTGTTGCTCCTAGAACGCTCACTTTAATGCCACTGCTTCCAGAAAGCCTTCCTTGGTGGCCCCGAGGCTGAGCCTGGACAGCAGGATGCTGACCCTGTGTGGGGAGAGGGAGCGTTTGCTTCCTCTGCAGATGTCCTGGCCCTGTTTGGGAAGCAGTCCCCTAACCTTGCTGCTGTGTTCCCCCTTCCAGGGCCACCGGGACCCAAAGGTGACCAGGGTGATGAAGGGAAGGAAGGCAGGCCTGGCATTCCTGGACTACCTGGACTTCGAGGTAATGGTGGGGGGGGGAATCTCCTAGTTGGGATCTGCAAGTCTACCCCTGGCCTCTCCTTCCCCATTGGTATGGCTGTGGGCTCCCTGTAGAGTGCTCACCTTTGGTTTTCAGTGCTCTTTTCTGCCAAGAGCTCTGGAGGTCATGGGTTGGCAATGGGACAAAGATACGTTTTCCTAGAAAGTGCCAGAATCTGAAGAGATCCCCATCCAGGAGCCAGCTGGAGATGTTCTACCATCCAGAGCAGTATCTGAGGAAATCGCTTCCCAGCATTCAGTGCTTCCTGACTCATCCACAGGCTCCTGAAGCCCTGCTCTGTCTTACTCCTCGTTGAACCTGCCCTGGTCTAGGAATGGGCTGCACCGGTCTCACCCTCCTCTGCTGTATCGGGGAAGGGGGTGTACCCTGCCTTCTTCTTTGACTCCGTGTCACAGAAGATCCATGCAGTGACTTTTCCAAAGTCTTCATCGTGTCTGTCCATTCCCGAGCCTGCGCAAGGCACCGTACTCTCCCGTGAGGGTGAAGAGGCAAAACAGTGGTGACTGGGAGGAGGGGGGGGTCTGTTTATGTAAAGAGTTATTGCTGCTACAATCTCCAAAGATCCCGTGGAAAGCGGGTGAAAAATACAGCAGAGGGGCCCAGCCGCTGCCCTGAACGTGAACTAAGCAACTCAAGGGCAGTGATGGGAGGGAGGCACAAGAGGGAAAGAGGGAACAGCTGACGCGAAACGAAAGGAAAGAAATGTACGCCTCACCCGACTTGTAAGAAACAGTTTTATTGTTCAAGTTCATAAGCTTTGTAGATTAAGATAATGATGCTGATCACGGTGTTACAAGGGCTTGTGACTTTAGCAACGTGTTACTATGCCACAGTATGGTGAAATCGATGTAGTCACTTAATCTCCATAAAGAAATAATAAAAAAGATCTCCAAGGATCTTGCCAACGGAGGGGAAGAGGCAGACACTGGAGTGAAGAATCACAGCCACATTCCACTCCAGCCCCTGTCCCCACCCTGCCCAAGAGCTCTGAGACCCATGATGCTCAAGGGCTTCTTTTGGCCTAATGAATCTTAGCATGGGAGCTTTGGTCCTGCGTTAGGTTCCATGTTCTGTGGCTACAGGGTGGTGGGATCCTGGGAACAGATGCCTGGTGGCAGGCCACCATCCTCTCCCTACTTTTGACGTTAGCCTTAGAGGAGTACAGATTGAGAAACAGGTTTCTAGTGTCTTGGAAAATGAGGCCCAAAGAAGCCAACTAGCTCTCCAAGCAAGAAAGAACAATTAGTCAGTTGAAGACAGCTCTGCTTTGCAGCAATGACTATGGGCTTAGGTCAGGCCTCTGGGGGCCCTGGGCTCTGGCTTGGTGAAAGTGTGTGTTGATTCTGGCTTTCCATGGTGCAATCAAAGCAGGCCCTGTCCATGGGACCTGGTGGCCCGGAGCCCGGGGCCTGGTCAGGCGGCAGGCCATGCATCGCTGACCAGCCTTGCCGATTTCCTCATCCCTCTCAGCCTCCAGCGAGTGCCCTTTGCTATGCCTCCCATGTTTCTGGAAAGGAAGGGATCTTTTTGTTCTTTCTTTAAATAGAAGCAGTATTTCATCTTTCTCCTAGTCTCTAATGCTATTCCCTGCTCCTCCCAAGTATCACTAAAACCTTTGGTCCAGCCATGAACTTTCCGTTCAGGGAGAGTAAGACACAGATCCTGCCTTCCTCACTGTTCACTGTGTTCTCTTGGGCAAGTTATTTAACCTCTCTGGGTTTAATTACCTCGTGAGTAGTACAGGTGAAGGAATACCTCTAGGTTCTCTGTAAGGATGGGATGGGATTCTTTATGCCTAGCAGGTAGACTGGACTCCAAAAACTTCCAAATCTCCAGCATGCCCAAGGTAAGGAGACACCTGGATGGATCTCATGCCACCGCCATCTGTCACCACAGAACTGGGCCTAGCAGTGGGGACGGGCCTAAGCGGTAACAAGTACTGATCTATTGGATGCTGCTTTTGCTGCATCTTTAATGCACCTAAGAAGATTCTAGAAGCCACAGCCACTGAGGATGCACATTTGCGATCCATCATCAAAGCAGACAATGACCTGTAAGGGACTTTACAGTTCTGAGTCTGTGTCTTTTGTCTCTCCCCAGGTCTGCCGGGGGAAAAGGGCACCCCAGGACTGCCCGGTCCCAAGGGCGATGACGGGAAGCTGGGGGCCACAGGCCCAATGGGCATGCGTGGGTTCAAAGGTAACAGCAGTTCTCCGTGCACGCGGGAGCAGCATGCGGGCAGCCCAGCGGGGCCCAGGGGTGGTGGTGGCATCCTGCCTTGGCCACTGAGTCACTGAGTGGGCCTTCATGAATGATGACTCCGTGTGTGTGTGTGTGTGTGTGTGTGTGTGTGTGTGTGTGTGTGTGTGTGTGTGTGTGTGAATGGCCCTGCAACTCTAAAACCTTTGTGAGATGCCGAAGGGTGTGAATAGAAGCTGCAGCCCAGAGGTGTAACAGCGGGGGCTGGGAAGGGGTGTCTCATGAACAACACAGACCAGGGGACCCACCACGGACACCCTGGCCAGTACTGCCAGATTCCTCTCCTTCTGCGAGACTCTCTGTATTCCCCCTGCGTTAACAGCTCAAGTTCACGTCCCAGGTCACATCCCAGGTTTACAGAACAACAGTTCCTTCTGATTTGTTTGTCTTCCTATGGACAGTCCCGTGTCCATTTTTAGGGTAACCTGCTTCAGAGGTAGACCCACCCCCTTTTCATTGCCTTTCAAGACTGCCAGACCTCCTATCATCACTGCATAAGAGAAGACATGTCTAATGCTCTTTCCTGGACTTCCTACTCATTACTGGTTACCATGACAAGCTAGCCAGCTCCCACCCTGGGCCTGGGACCACTGGGAAGTCTTACTCTACTTTCTGGTTGGTGATGAATCAAGCTGGGGTTTTCCTTTCTTTTATAGTTCTCATGAGAAATTTTTAATTTTAAACATTGTAGAAGTAGAACATGCTTGTTTTCTTTTTTAACCAGATGATACAGGCATGTAAGAAGGAAGTCTTTTCTTCCTTGATCCCTTTAACTTTATGCCTTAGAATAACCACTGTAGACTCTTTGGAATGTATCCTGCCAGATATTTCTCTAAGCACATTCATATGCATATATACATAAATGTACACACACATGTGTGTGTGCTTTAGTTTGTGTTTAAAAAAAAAAAAAAAAAAAACCTTGGATCTCACTAGGTTTTCTCCAAAGTTTTCTGACTTGCTGTTTTCATCCGTAGCATGCCATGGGCCTTTAATTTCCAGATACTTTTCTAGAAATCCTTGGCATAGAATTCCCTGGCCGTTTTAATGCCCATTGAATGATGCCAGGACTTTACACTGCTTTGCGGGGTGAGATGCCAGCTGGGGAAACAGCTCTACTTCTATTAACCATATCCTGGGAAGAAAATTCCACAATTCCCTGGAAACTCATTCTCGTATTTTACAGTTTCCCCTGCCGGAAAATCTGCCTGACATATAACCCATCTCTCTCCCTCCATAACTGAAGCCCAGCCCCCTCCTTCCCCTGTGCCCATTAGAATAAACCTCGATGCAAATTTCTAAAGGCCTGTGTGCTTGATAGAAACTCCCTTGCTTTATCTTCTTCTGCTGAGTACCTCTCATCTTGGAGGCTGTGTGACGGATGCCGTTCTTCTGTGCTTTCACGAGGATGGAAAGAGACTTTCTCTGTGGAGCCTACCATCTTTCTTCAGGGGACCAGAGCAGGTGTCATAATTCACTAGCTCTTACCTGCCCTGCTGTGCCCGCTGATTACTGCTATCTTCTGCCTAGGAGTTTCCTAGTCTAGGGTTCCAAGGTACCATTTCCTGATTAGCATTTGCCTCTGTTTCTAATGCCAGTTTTCCTCCACTGATCCAGGTGACCGAGGCCCGAAAGGAGAGAAAGGAGAGCGAGGAGACAGAGCAAGAGATGCGGGTGAGGAAGTTCTACTGGGGTCCCTGGCTGCTGTGTGATTACGGGGGGTAGGGGCCGGGAAAGGGGTAGAACTTGAATCTATCCAACCTGAGGTTGGGATGTGGGTGTGGTGGCCATGTGCAGGGCTCAGGTGTCAAAGAGCCTCCTTGAGTCTCCTTCCCATTTTAGGGCTCACTGGCCCAGCAAGAGTTACTAAGAGACCCCCCCCCCCCAGGGGCACAGGCTGTGCTTCTAGAGATGGTACTACTATGGTCCTGTGGAAGGGTCTGGAAGCTCCCTCTCTACTGGCTATGTCTAATCTCTGGGCCTCTGTATCATTGCCTAGGGAAAAAAAGGCGGGAGGGGAATAGGGCGGTGGTGAGAAGTGAATGGGTTAGTCAATAGAAAATGCCTATTACCGTATCTAAGCCCTTGTTAGGACTCAGGGAAGGCTGGCTGCTCTTCCATGTCATGCAGTGGTTCAGGCATACTTCCTCAAATCATCCAGTGTGCTTGTGAAAACTCCCTGACCTCAAGAAAACACCTCCTTTCCCCAGCTGTTGCAAGGGGAGGGAGGGCAGAGGCCGACCCCAGTGCGTCCCTTTCCCTCTTTGGCTCCCACAAGGCTGGTGCCTCATTTGCGGCGGCCTAGTCGCCATGGGAAAGGACAGTCGTTCTTTAGAGAGGCTTCCCGTGAGGGTGTCAGCCAGATTACCCAGCCGTGCACTTTTAAGGTATATTTTCCCCAAAGGGCTTCTCGTAGATGTTGAGAGATTGTCAGGGAAAGAATGAATAGAGTCACCTGGCCATATTTCAAACAGAAAACAACCATCCACCCATTGTTCTGTTGGCTCTGGAGTCTGGCTGCTGGAGAGACCACAGGCCTCTGGGCTCTGGGCTGGGCGCTGCACCGCGGGCCTGGGGAGCATCACCCGCACCCAGGCTCTCCTGTGGACAGTCGGGACAGACGCCAGGGTGGAGGCATAGGCTGGACCCTGCCTGCCGCTGACCTGCCTGAAGGACAGGGCGCTGCTCGTGGGCTTTGGAGCTCTCACTGACTTCTCTGATGGTTTGTGTACTGTTTCTGATGCAATACCACCGGAGGAGCTGAGAAGGATTATGGCATTTAGCTTGGAGAAATAAACAAGTGATGAATTGGGCAGGAAGGGAGGAACGTGTGTGGAAAGATGACCTTTGAGAAAGGGAGAGAGAGAGAGATCACAGCGCTGCCCACATACCAGAGGGGTCTTGTCAGGAGTGCTCGCACACCATCCTTTCGGCTGACTTGAGAATGGAAACAGGTTCAGAGCCAGCGGGGTGACCACGCCGCAAAGGATGCTCTCTGGTCACGGAGGGAATTGGGGGCCCCGCCTGGGAGGTGGAGGCAGTGCCCGATGGTGTGCAGCTCCCCTGGGGAGGGGTGGGAGACTGGGGAAGGACGCCCATGCACTTGGCCTCCGAGCCTGCCAACTGCCCCGCCAGAAGCTGACATCAGCCTGGACGTCCGTCCCTGGGGTCTGAGGTTGCTTCCCTTTCTGAGGAGACTACACCCTGACCAGAGGCCAGAGCTCAGGCACAGAGCGGAAGCCCAGCGCTTCCATCAAGCCCTGAGCTCCTCCTCCCTCAACCTCAGAAATAGCCTCCCTGGACAAGGGGCCTTGCTGGACCACAGGCTGAGAGGGGAAGGGAGCGGGAGAGGCTGCTGGTTGTCAGGAGGTTTTCCACAGTGAGAGGAGGACCGCAGAGGCACACAGGGAACTGTAGAAACTCGAAACCAGAGCCATCATCTCTTTCCGCCAACGTCAGAGGCTCCGAGAGCACTGACTTCCCCAGGCGAGGGCTGGGCTGAGGACACAGCCGGCCTTGGACCGTGGAGCTGGGTTCTTTAAAGTCCCTAGCAAGTCCCCCTCACAGATAGCTCTAGACATGGATGGAAAGCCAGAGCTTAGGGACCACATCACAGCAGCCAGGCCCGAGGTCTGTTGCCTTCCCACGGCCTCTGCTTTCTGGGCTGCCTCTGGCCACACCAAAGCCAAGCAGCATTCAGGCTCCCGCTGTTTGCAAGGCCCTCTTCCTAGTCCCAGAGGTGTTAACTATCTCCCTGAGAAGCCAGCCTGCAGGAGAGGCTCATCTTTCAGAGAACTGTGGAAATTCTGACCCACACAGCGCCCACTGCTGGGGTTTTCTTAGTCATTCACAGAGCTCTGGGCGGCCCTACCAGAGAGCTACCCTCCCCCTGGTCCAGCAGGGGCAGGAGGCCCAGTAACCTGGCTGCTTGTCATCTGTTCACTGGGCTTTGCCTGAAGCTTATAACTTTCTCCAAACAGCTCTAGGGCCTACCTATAGTGCCAACCCCCCTGAAGTCCCATCAGGAGGGATGTTATGACATTGAAGGTATTGGTGACAAAAACCAGCTAACCACCTAGCTTTGCTTTGAGCTCAGTAATACAGAGAAAAACCTCTCCAGACTGTTTTTGTTGTTATTGGTGGTGATCATGAAGCTTGAACTCTGGACCTGAGCACAATCACTCAGCAATTCAGCTCAAGGCTAGTGCTCTACCCCTTGAGCCACAGCGCCACTTCTGGTTTTCTGGTGGTTTATTGGAGATAAGAGTCTCACGGACTTTCCAGCCCAGGCTGGTCTTGCACTGCAATCCTCAGATCTCAGCCTCCTGCGTAGCTAGGATTACAGGTGTGAACCACCGGCACCCTGAACGAAAAAATCTTAGCAGTGTTGACCCTTGTTTTGACCTGGAATTATACAATTTTAGGGTCTAGATGGGTTTCTGATTCAACCCTCTCCCTCTTCCAAACCCCACCTTGCCAGTTTATTGGACATAGAGATCCAGAGCTCACCACACTTAGATGGTGGCCAAACTGAGTCTAGAATCCAGATCTCGCGATGTCTGCTTAGTTGGGGGTCCCTGCCCCCACCAAGCCAATGATATCCATCATGCCATTAGATGCTTGGCTTTTGGAAATTTGGCCAGGGAAGGAAAAAGTTCTATAGAACACATCTCAAGAGAGAAAGACATTTGTTTTACCCTGGAATATAGTCCCCTTACAAGAAAAATAAATAATATTTTTGTAGAGAAGGGGGGTAGGTAAAGGAATCCGTTTTGTTTAAGTCCCAGAGCTTGAATTTAAAACAGGGTATAAAAGTTCAGATTGTTTTTTTTTTTTTCTAAAAAGTCTTTTCTCAATTTGGTTTCACATGGGAAGAAAACCATACAGCCTGATAAAGGGGTAAATTCTAAGCCAGTGTTTGTGGAGAACATTGGAAGCTGAGCGAATTTAAATGCTTTAAGGGTATTCTGGTATTTAGGGAAGTTTGGGGCCTGGATCCCTGGTCCTATAACAGGATCCTAGTTGTTCAAGTTCACGGAGATACTGGGGTCCAAGGCACTGCATAGCTGCAGTATTTTTTTCTCTCATGCATTTGTTCAGTTTTTGCATTATTTTATTCATCCATTTTCCATGTCTTTAGATGACTTAGTAATCCTCTAGAAGAGCCAAACATGGAAGTATATATGGGAATGGAAGGTATTTTTCCCCTAGTGCCAACACTGGGACTTTGAACTCAGGGCCTCAAACTCTCACTTGGCTTAATTTCACTCAAGGCTGGTGCTCTACTACTTGAACCACATATTTTTTGCTCACTAATTGGAGCTTAGAGACTCTATTTTATATGCCTGGGCTGTCTCAAATCTCAATCCTCAGATCTCTGCCTCCTGAGTAGCTAGGATGACAGGGAGAAGGTTTCTCAACTATTTCCTTGGCAAAGTTTATATCTACTAACTGGAAAATGTACAAGGACATGGGAAAATTGTTCTGAGGCAAAAATGGAAGCAGAATTGGAGACACCAGAAAGAAAAATGGAGAAACAGCCAATGAGGTCATCTTGTGTACAAGATGAAAGTAAGCAAGGCAGGCTCTGAGGGGAGCAAGGACTAGAACAAAGGCCAGGGAGGAGGAAGGATTCACTCAAAAGCAAAGAGATGTGTGGATGGGAAGGAAAGCATTTAAGGAAAAGTGTCGGCTTGTCATTTCTAAACAACCATTAGTTGGCTGTTAGCTAAAACACCAAGAACTCAAGTGTAGCCTGAAGAGAGACTTGTCAAGGATTACAAAGGATTATAGAAAGGGCTATGGTAGAGTTGGGAACAATATCAATGAAGGGTTTTATTTTTGTGGGTCGTGGGGCTTGAACTCAGGACCTGGGCGCTGTCCCTCAGCTCTTTTGCTCAAGGCTAGCACTCTACCACTTTGAGCCACAGTGCCGTCTCCAGTTTTCTGGTGGTTAATTGGAGATAAGGGTCTCATGGACTTTCCTGACCAGGCTGGCTTTGAACCACAGCCTCCAACTGGCAATGAAGTGTTTTTGACTCAAGACCTAAAGGGAAAGTTGGAGTCCAACAGATGCATGGGGGGGTGGGGGCGGTAAAGTATCCCAGGTACCATACATGGGACAGGAAGTGTTCTCTAATTATCCCAAATAGTTTGGCATAGCAAGAGTTTGGGATATAAAAAAAACTAGGCTCAAGTATCTGTAGAAATGGCCAGGGTTCAAGAGGCTAGCTTTGACCCTCTGGTACTAGAAAGCCATTGGCAGGTGTATTCAGAGAGGGGATACTAGAGGTGACCTGGAAGCTCAGCCATTCTGATGTCCTTCCATGTTCAACCCAGGCCTAGACATAGCAGGCAGGTCTTCTCCTTGGGGACGGTCCTCACTCCAACTTCATGCTGTTCCTCCACACCCACTCCTTCTCTGGTCTTGTTTCTCCTGGGCCCATTCATGTGTTTCTGACACTAAGTGTGCACTTTCTCACACCACCAATTCTCCAGTAATATTATGTCGTATCCAGCCTTCATTATCTGCCTGAAGATTACTCAGAGACCACCCCACCGCCCCCCCTCGCTGCACACACACATGCTCACACACACAATCAGTCTCACAGACTGATTGGCTGTTGCCACTTCAGATCCAGCATTAATCTGGTTCCTCAGGTCTGCTCACCAGC